TGTGTGTGTCATATTATCCTATCTATCTATTATCATTATCTAGTCTACCCTCTCCTATCTATCTATCAGCCCCCCCTATCTATCTTCTATCTATCTATCTATCTACTCGTCTCCCAGAGGATATTCCTATTTATATTGTATGAATAATATAATAATAATATTGGATATTGATAGCAGAAGCTTCAGTACTTAATCGGCATTAAGCATTATCATGCCAAAGTTTGATCCAATTTCTCCAGCAATTGTACTGATTAAGGTTTTTTTTAAAAACTGAAGAGGCTGCAAAAGTTCTTAGAATATTAAAAAAAAGCAAAAACAGCATCACAAATTACATGTTGTGCATGCTTGTAGCAGGTACTCCCTGTGGTGGTACATTTAAAATGCAGTATGTGTCTAGTTGCCCGAATCCACTGAACTTTGTTTCCTTATTATGTAGAAAGTATAAGAAGAAATGTAACAACAACAAATGAAAACATTAAGGAGGAGGGAGTGTCACGTGAAAGAGGGAGTTGGAATAAAGGGAGTAAAACTATAGATAGAGGAGAAGAGGAAGAGCGAGAAAATAGGAGGCGGAGAAGGCCCAGTGGCCCATATTGTCCTACTCCTTCCTCTGCGTAGCTGCCTGGCTGTAATTATCAGTCAGATTATTATTGAGTGCTAATTTATTGCCTCGCTGGGAGCTATGTGTTAAATAAACGCAGCGGAGTAAATAAAGAGAGGGGGAGAAAGAGGGAATGGGAGAACAGACTGCTGCTGCTATCAGATGGCAACACAGCACACACACTGCCCACAGGGGAAGAGTGAGATGCGTGAGTGTATATTTATACTGTCCCAGGCATACTTGCGAGCCCAAACACTAGTGTTCCATGCCCATGTGTTGTGTTGATGATCCATTGGACTGTTAACATTGGTGCGCTGCCCTCAGATGCTCTCTTCATGTGTTCCTTCTGTACTGGATCAGGGAGTTGGCCCTCCATAGCTGATATCACTGTGACGTCTACCCGGCAGACACGCTGACTAACAGCTCAGCCAGCCGCCATCTGTTGTCCCCACAGCTTAGCCTCAAAACCTGCAGAACGGTATGACTGTAGCACTGTGGGGAGTCTGGATGTCTGATATTTGTATTTTTGGTTTGGCTTTGTTTTTTAGAGTTTAGTATTGTTTTAAAAGTTACTAGCACCGATAGGAGGCAAAGCTCAGAGTGTAGTGGGTGAGTGGCTAACATCACTCACCCACTACACTC